ATAGTAAGATAAAAGGGAACTAAACATTGCACAAACATTGTGGGTGTGGCAGGGGAAGGACACTGTAAAATCTCCAGTCAGAGGTGGTATTTGCCGGTTCTCCAAATTACTCAAAATTTCCACTGCCAGTTTTCCAGAACTGGTCAAAACCTGCGGAATACCACCTCTGGTTGGTAAATTGAGAACCCAGATTGTTGGGGACAGTATGCTGATATTGTAAACTGCACAGAGTGATGCACTCTGCACTGTGGGGTGATATATAAGCCCAAGTGCTATTGCTCTTGTTATCTTCTGTCCATTCCTTACACATAGGCCTCTGTTGACAATGCAACCATTCCAATGGATGTCTGAAAGAGCGACAAGGAAAAATAATGCTACTCTTATAAATAAGTTTTCATGAAAGTGATCAATATGTGTTTGGGCTGACTTTAACATTCTGCTGCAAGTAGAAATTTGATAGCTTTTGGAAAAGCAAGATGCTGGAGAAGTTTCTACAACATTCATGACAGTTTGTTTGTTCATTTTGATAGCAGAATTTCCATCAATCTGTAGCTGTTCTTGTTTTCAAAGACCATATTTGAGATATTACAGCAAATCCAACCAAAACATGCATGCATATAAACATATGTTCCAATTTTACCAGTGCTGAGCATTGAATCAATGTGTTCTGACTCAAACCTTATTCCAAGTAAACAAATACCAAAGATAAAAGCAAAACCTTTTAATGCTTCTCTGCAAATTCCGTTAATTCACGGTTAAAAGGCTATTAAAACTAATTGTCTCTGATAAGCATGAACCTTGCCAAGGTTGTGCAAGGCTGCCAACAGCACTAGATTACGTTGCCAAGAAATATTCCAAACAAAAAGTCTTCAAACACAAACCAAGATAGTCCAAACTTCCACAAGGCTTGAAGTGCAAAAACTTCTTTGCTTCCTGCAAAGAATACTGGTCTCTAAGGCTGGCTTTTATCTCTTAAGGGAGGGGCCATTACCTTATAGCCTTACTCCCGAGTCATCCGTGCTGCTGCAGCAGCTTTTTCCTACGAGCAGCCCTGAGCGCACACACACTGGGCACAGGCTCCTCCAGGTCCTCTGCATCACTACTACCAGCCTCCACAATCTCTGAAGGCAGCACTCCACTCCCTGATGGTCCTGGCCCCATCCATACATCACACGCAGGCCCCTCATCTGAGTCCTTGCTCTCTGAGACCTCAGCCATCCACACCTGCTGCCGGTGAACCACAACAAATGTTCATGATTTCCATAAATACTATTGCTGTTATATCAATGATTAACATGTTAATTTAATAATCCTTTAAAATAAATCAGAGTGCTCAAGACCAGTGGTCACCAACCAGTGGGCCAGGGACCACTGGTGGTCCACAAGAAAATTTTGGTGGTCCGCAGAGAAATGTCACCCCCAAAAGCAATTAATCCAGGCTGCACAGGAACACAAGGCTGTGCCGCCCACATGGACCGTGGGGACACAAGGCTGTGTCACTTGCATTGCAAACAATATGAGGTAGTGAGGGGAGGGGGAAAGGGTGGAGGGAACTTGCCCCACTCGCCCCACGTGCCTAACCTGGCCACCAGGCTGCTTTTTTCCGCTTCTTTCTTCTTCTGCTTTTGGCTGCACGCAAGGAAAGCAGCAAAAGTCTTTCTTTCTCTCCCCCAAACTCCACCAGAAATGAGTCTTTGGGACCCTGTAAGGCATCCTACTCCAAGGGGCTGCACCTGCACAAGTCTCACAAAGACTCATTTCTGGCAGAGTTTGGGGGAGAGAAAGAAAGACTTTTGCTGCTTCTGCTGCTTTCCTTGCATGAAGCCAAAAGTCTCTATGTCTCTGTCTCTGTCTCTGTCTCTCTCTCTCTCTCCCTGAGAACAGAGCTGGAGACAGTACCCTGCAAGCCAAAATAAAGAATGATTGATTGGTAGGAAAATGGGGTGGGAATTTTCCTGTAGACTTTTTTTTTGGATTCTCCCAGGGTCTCTGGTCCGCGGGATTTAAAATTATGAGTGTGGTGGTCCCTGAGGTCCAAAAGGTTGGTGACCCCTGCTCAAGACTACATAGTCAAATGCCAACCCTATCATGGTTTCTGAGTCCTGATCAAATGCTAACATACTATATTCTGGTCCAGATCTTGTAAATGAATAACAACAGCAGCTCCATCAGGCAAGTCCTCAATAAGTCTTCCCTGTAGCTTGTCTTGTGCATCTATTTCTCCCTTATGCTGAAGAAGGCTCTAGAGTATCTTGGACGTCATGCTAATATTAACTGCTAGGAGACAAAGAGGAGTAGGTTTTTTTTAAATCCTTACTGGAATAAGGATGTTCCCTGGCTACTACTGGAAAAAAATGATAGCAACTACAACATGGGTCCAAGCTGGTTGGTTGAACAACAATCTGGGATATGAATTTGGGCAGTTTACCATGTACTATATTGAGAACATTCCCCTAAGTTCTTTTGTAAACTGAGTATTTTTCCCACTTGGTCTTTCAAGAAAATTGTTTGGATCATAGCAAAGACCTGGGAAGGAACATCTCTCCAGCCAGTTCTAACCTGCTCCAATGTCCCTTCTCATTTTCTTATAAGTCTCACCTAGTTTTTGTAACACTTAGAACAGGGGTCCCCAAATTTGGAAACTTAAAGACTTGTGGACTTCAACTCACAGAATTCTCCAGCCAGCTATGTTATGCTGACTGAAGAATTCTGGGATTTGAAGTCCACAAGTCTTAAAGTTGCCATGTTTGGAGACCTCTGACATAGAATGTAAAGATGTCCAGATGCTAGAATAGGGGTCTTCAAATTTGACAGCTTTAAGACTTGTGGACTTCAACTCTCAGAATTCCTCCTCCAGTCATGTTAGCTCAGGAATTCTGGGAGTTGAAGTCCACAAATCTTAAACTTGACAAGTTTGAAGACCCTTGTACTAGAAGCTTTGGGATACTGCTTTAAAAATAAAAATCTGCCTGGGATGCTCACATTTCAAATTCCAGGAAGGAAAAAAAGAGGAAAAGTCTAGCATTTATAGTTTACTTCATTGTTCACTTGGAAGGGTAAAACTCCACTACAATAATTAGCTATCATCTACATATGGAAGGAGGTGCAAGGGACTAACATTCTCCCATTGAAGATAAGCAGAGCACCGTCAGAATAGCAAATTATAACTATAAAATATGGTTTGCTAGCAGCTGTCAATATTACAAAATTGAAGCCCTGGCTACCTATGTTGAAAAATAATTTAGATGAAACAATATTTAGCTTGTCAGTTTCCAGCCTTGAACTGGCAAGAGGTTTATTTATGGGTGCTGGGCTTTTTCCAGTTGAAAACGATCAATGGCGATTTGAGTAAGTCATGTCTCAAGAGGTTTCACTTGCTGGCTCCACAGAAGCTAGGCTTATCCCTCGAAAAGGTCAGTCAGTAAACCAAACTTTGTCAAGCTGGAGAAGCGCTTGGGAATCAGGCAGAGTATGTGTATGTATACACAAGATTTCTACTTCTCACCTTCTGCATTGCCAGTTTTCTGGGAAAGTAATTTCACCATCCACCTGCATATGTGTGTGTGTCTCTCTCTCCCCCACCCTCTCTCTCCCTCTCTTCCTCCCTCCCCTTCTCCCTCCCTCCCTCCTTTCCCCCCTCTCTTTGTGTTTGTGTGTGTGTTTCCATATATTTAGTCCATCAAAATATTCCCATATCTATTATACTTTGCTAGAGTGTTAACAGTGGTGGGATTCAAATTGTTTGACTACTGGTTCTGTGGGTGTGGCTTGGTGGGCGTGGCAGGGGAAGGATGTTGTAAAATCTCCAGTTAGACGTGGTATTTGCCGGTTCTCTGAACTACTCAAAATTTCCATTACCAGTTCTCCAGAACTGGTCAGAAACTGCTGAATACCATCTCTGATTTTAACCATTGCTCCTAATGACAAGCCAATGTTCCTAACATTTCCATTCAAAATTCAATCAATTTATGTTCTTATTTTCTGACCTTGCCTGTGCTTTAGGAACATCGTTTTTCTGCTGACATCTGCTGACAGGTTTGGGCATGACCATTAAAAGTCAGGGCTGCAAGCTTTTATTATACAGGTAGTCCCTGACTTACGACCACACTTGAGCCTAAAATTTTTGTTGCTGAGTGAGAACAGAAGTGAGTTTTGCCCCATCTTACGACCTTCCTTGCCACCGTTATTCAGTTAGTAGCATGCTTGTTAAGTGAATCTGGCTTCCCCATTGACTTTTGGTTGTCAGAAGGCTGCAAAAAAGTGATGTGATCCCGGGATAACAACTAACGTCATAAATATGAATCAGTTGCTCAGTCTCCAAATGTTGATCCCGTGACCATGCTACCACAGTCACAAGTGTGAAAATGGTCATAGGTCACTTTTTTTCAGTGATGTTGTAACTTTGAATGATCTGTTGCAAGTTGAGGATTTTCCCTGTATCACGACGGAAGGCAGAAAAATGCTGCCAGGTTTTGCATGGATACTTTATTGCAGCATATTTCTGGAATATCTTCCAGCGTCTCCCTTAAGGCGGGGATACAGGGATGAGGAAAGCACAGCACAGAAATCCCTGAATTACCCAGCAAAGAGCCTAAGCCATTTTCTATACCAAGTATAAACAGCAACTTTTGATGTATTTTGCTTCTCTGCATTATATGTCTTTACTGAAACTGCAGGCATCAAAGCAACAGACCACATCAGAAGACAGAGAATGTGTAGGAGGTAAACCAGCATACATACAGAATGTACAGTCAGATCGTTCTTAAGTTATTATTTACAGTGTAAACATCCATTTTTATTATATAAGAAACATAAATATCACAAATTTCACTCCAATATATATATATATATATATGTATATATATATTTGTTTTGATTTTAAATAATGAAATCATCTCTTTGAAATACTATGAGGAACTCAAAAAATAGCTTGATCTTTTTTTAGGATTTTTTCTTCTTCTTTTTTTTTGGCAGGACTTTTTGCAGAATTTTTTTTTTTTTTACTGAGTCGTCTTCAGAGGTTCTGGAGAGAGAGAAAAAGAAATAAATAAAACACACATATATTTGTGTGTGTGTGTGTGTGTGTGTGTGTGTGTATGTATT